CCCTTTCCTCTGTCTACTCATCAACTGATTCATCACCCTTGTCTGTCTGCCTATCTGTCTATCATCTATCATCTATCCATCTATCTATTATCTATATCTATCTATCTATCTATCTATCTATCTATCTATCTATCTATCTGTCTGTCTGTCTGTCTGTCTGTCTATCGTCTATCTATCTATCATCTATCTATCTGTCTATCTATCAATCATCTATCTACCTATCTACTATCTCTCTCTCTCTCTCTCTCTATCTATCTGTCTATCATCTATCTATCTACCATTGATTTCTTGATCTGTCCTTTTGGATATGCATTTAAATACTGCATGCATATATTAAAGCCTCTTGTGGTGAGGAAGTTAAACCTACATAGGACGGGGGTGACCAGTGAAGCAAAAAGTATGGCTCAGATTCAATGAGTCAGGTCCTGGCTCTCTGGATTTGGAATGATTCTTTTTTTCTGGAGTGCAGTGGTGCAACCTTGGCTCACTGCAGCCTCAACTTCCTGGGCTCAAGCCATCCTCAGCCTCCTGAGTAGATAGGACCACAGGCACACACCACTAATTTTTTATTTTTTTGTAGAGATACGGTCTCGCTATGTTACCAGGCTCCTGGGCTCAAGTGATCCACCTTGGTCTCCCAAAATGTTGGAATTACAGGCATGAGCCACGATACCTGGCCTGGAATGAGTTTTAGTTCCTCTCAGACACAGTTCTCCATGTGCAAGGGGAGTGATGATATCTGCTTCTCATAAGGTTAAATATAATACATATAACACTGAGACTGACTGGGCCAATTTGGGGGCCAATTAAGTGTGGAACTAGAAAACAATATGGATCCATAGTTCACACTTTATACCAGAATAAATTCCAGATGGACAAAAAAATTAAGTGTGAAAAATGGACCATGAAAGTACTAGAAGAAACTATAGGGGATATTAAAAAATATTCTTAGATATAGAAAGATCTTAAATTATGACATAAAACTTTAGAAACTAATTGGTAAAATCAGCTATATAACTTTTCTTCTTTTCTTAGCCAAAAGACAAATAAAAAACTGGCAAAAATATTTATAATTCACATAATAGGAAAACAGCTAATTTCCTTAATATATAAAGAGCTCTTACAAATCAAGAAGAAAAGATCTACAATGTAATGGAATAAAGGACATAAGACATAAACTGTCTTAAAAATACGAATGGCTCTCAGACACATGAAAAGATACTCAGTTTCATTCTTAGTAAGAGAAAGTCACATGAAAGCTACACGGAGCTATCACTTTGTACTCACGGGACGGGCAAAGGTCTAAACGCTTGGTAGCACGCTGCTGAAGAGACAACTTAGAAACAGTTGATGGGAGTGTCACTTGGTAAAACCTCTAAGGAGGTCCCTTGGCAAGAAGTATAAAAATTACACATGTACTCTTTGGCACAGTAATCGTGCCTTAAGAAATTTATCCTGTAGGCATAGTTACTTGTAAGCAAAGTGCCTTTTTTTTTTTTTTTTTTTTTTTAATAAAAACAACAGGTAGGAAAGAAGTTAATGCCTTTCCATAGGAAACCCCATAAATACCCTTTGGTACCACACAGTGGTCTCTCATTCTTATTTATTTATTTAGGGATCTATACAAGGAAAATGCACATCTTTACCAAAATGAGAAGGGTCTTTATAATTGCCATGTGATGATGCCTTAAATGCTCCCTAGTAAAATGAACAAACAACAAAAACAGAAAGGTTCAGAGCAATGCGGCTACCATGGCCTAAAACCAGCCGAAAACGAAACGAGGACCCAGCACACCTGTGTAGGTTTAGTCCTAGAGAGTTTCCAGATGTGCACAAGCCGCTGTTACCACTGGGTGCCTCTGGGAGGGGAAGAGGGAGGCCAGTGGGCAGGTGTGAGGGAACTTCACTGGGTACCTTCTCCTGCCTTTTGAACTTTGAAATATGTGAGTTATTATTTTAAAAGCTAAATAAAAATTAAAAAGGATAATAAAATGGTAAGTTCAGAACAACTTATTCCAAATAAGGACGCCTCGTAATGTCCCTTGTGTGTGAGGGTGTTCAGAGCTGGAGCCAACGGGCAGAGCAGGGGATGAGGTGAAACTTACTTCCTTGATTTGCGTTGTTCAGACAAATACTTTTTAAAAATCATATAGTCAATTCTTATTTTCTTAAAAATAGTCCAAGTGATTAACCTAATTCCTCTTTCTCAGTCAGATGTTATAGTTTTAGTGGTGCAATCTGTATACCAGTAAAGATACACTTTCCTCTCTCTAATGTTTAATCAATCATGATGGAAAAGTTAGACCATATTTCCACTCCTAAGTATATTTTGTTTTATTTTCCCATGAATAGTATGTAACATAGCCGGTAGAGAATCCAGATACTTAAAATTGCATCTGTGTGAGTATTCACACTTTCTCAGGGAATATTTGCACTCGTATTTTTGAGGTCCTTCTTTTAGTTCTCTCCAGCATTTAAGAACTTTCTCCATGTTTACCTAGGTGAAAAAAAAGCAGAATCCTAAGGTAGCCAAACACAGGATCATGAGCAGAGGGGAGAGGAGCTGGGTCTGAATTTTTTCTCCACCCCACCTCTAAGGCGGAGCTCTGCGCCTTGCAGTTAGTAAACAACAGATAATGTTTACTGGAGAAAGAAATGAGCTCCTTGCTTTGATGTGCCTCAGATAAAAAAGTCTAAAGTGGCATCTGGATAGCTCTGTTTTAAACAGAGATGGCTGCCTCATCCCTGTCTGCCTTCACTGATGTTTGGATTTGTTTTGTTTCACACTCTGGTAGGAGGCTCCTACTCTGTGCTGGCCTACGGGAGTGGGCTCTGAGCAAATGCTGTCCCAGCCCACACAGTGCTTAAGAAGCAGTTTCTCTCCACCAGTCATAACTGCTCGCTGACAGCCCTGCTTCATCCCCCTGCTTCTAAGATCGTGCTCTGCAGTCACATAAGACACACTGGGTGGTGATGATCAGGGTCTCAAAGGGCACTCCTCACATGCACATCCTTCCCTGCCGTCTAAGTTTTGTTTTGTAAGTGTGCTGCATAGACGAAATCGCTGTTCATACAGTCCTTCTGAAGACCAAATTAAATCGCTGTTTCGTGGCTGCATTGCCACAGGAGTCATGGCATCGGTGGTCTTCCTTCTCAGGCCCACCTGAGTGAGTGAGTTTGATTTGCCACCTGAATGCCATTGGCAGCCTTTGTAGCAGGGGCAGAGTCTCAAACCTGCTGTTTTTTTGCTGGTTTGTTTTCCTAAGAGGATGGAGCCTTCCCTGCCTGAGGGGCTCCCAGGCCCTACCTGGACCCTGGTGCTGAGAACAAGTATTCTCTTTATTCACATTTCTAGCTTATATTATGGTGCAGGTTAAGTGGGATGATTTGCACAAAGCATTCCGCACAGTGCCCGTCAAGTGGTAACTTTCCATTTCTCTTATTTTTGCTGTTGTCTTGAAAAGAATGATTCTCCAACTTGGCCTGCAATTCCCAAACCCCCGCCCGTGGTGCTGACGTGGCACGCTGCGCTGGTTCTGTGTGAAGTCTGCAGCATCCTCATCCTGGTAACTCTGGGAGATGCGGTGAGGCCAGTGCCTTCGGTGTGCTCTGCCGGAGACGGGACGAGTCACTGTCGCCTCCGCGTTATTTCTGGTGTCCCCAGGGCCTGTCATCTGGGAACAGGTCATGTATTCAGATGGGATATCAGTCTCATTTAGACATCTGGAAAAGAGAAAAAGCAGTTTCCCGTTTCCGCATCAGCCTTTCCGTGATGGACCATGGAAAGTTGGCGTGGTTTGCGCAGGTGTCCACACTTGTACACATGGGTGTGGTCACCCAGCAGCCACCGGAAGAGGTCTGAAGGCAGACGGCTGTCAGAAAGGGACATGTTCGAAACATAAACCGGATAGATACACAAATGAATAATCCCTCAAACTGCAAGTCTGGATCTACAATATTCAAAGGACGGGAGGCAGGCATCGCGCTGTAAGTGATACACTTTATCTAGAAGACATACTTTGCCGTTACAAAGAGGTCAAAAGCACTTCATTAAAAATATATGGTCAGAAGAAAGAACCAATTATCGTTCACATGATATGAGTGATCAATATAATTAAGAAATGCACTCTCAATAAAAAGACTAATGAACAGTATATCCTAGCAGAACTGATATTGTATGGGCGATTAAATATTTATCAAGCATCAAAGCACAGCGAGATGCTACAGGATCCACAAAAATATTTTGTTGCTAAGGAATCTATTCCAATACAATAATCCCACACAGCACAGGGAGGGTGTGGTCGATGCTACTGACAGGTCAGAAAACCTGAGCTCCAGACATTCAGACGAGGGTTCCCAAGTATTCTTATTTCTGTGCCAAGTACCCAAGGCATAATATTCAGAGAAAATTCAATTAATGAAAAGATCAGTCATATTATCTTATAACTGTGCCTCTTTGGTAAAAAAAAAATATAGATTCTGTCCTTTTTGAAAACGAAACTGGATGGCGGGTTTGCTTAGAAGGAGGTGACAGAGCACCTTCACTGTCTCTCTGTCCGAAAATAGAAGTGGAGGGAGGACGTAAGTCAGGTTTTTGGAAAACACGTGAAGTGTTTTCTAAGATCAGGAATGTGGTGCGAAGCGTTTATCTCACTCGGCTGGGGTAGAACTTGCCAGTGGCCGCCCTGGGCGTTGTCCACACCCCGGTGACTCAGTTCTCTGGTTTAACTTCTTTCTTCACAGCGGGATTCGGTGTTCTGGGTCTTCCCTGACACGCAGTGGCTCCAGGATCCTGGCGCCTCTGATCTGGGGCAGGGGGTGGGGGCACCATCTTTAATGCTGGGCCCTGGGTCCTTCCCCTTAGGGGACTGACCAGCAAAAACAGCCTGCAGGTCGTGCATCACAGTCACAGTCGGCTCTGGGGTAACAGGTGTGAACTCTGCCTCCACCGCCCTGGGCAAGAAACCGGGCACGCAGCACCCATCTAACACAGCCTTTCTGTGTCCAGAGAGAGGAGGACGGATTGGTAAGGATCCCAAGTTCTTGCTATGGTCTCAGCTATAAAAATCATCCAGGCTTGGCGCGGATATTTTGCAAAAGGTGGGAGGTAAGACTTGGGAGAATTTGCTGCCAAGTGGGAGGCGGAATGTGGAGGCAGCTTCCTCTGTGACGTTTCTGGAGCCACGTTCGTTCACTCAGCTGGACGTCCACTGAGAAGCTCCCTAGACCAGAAGATAACGTCTAAGTCACGGCCTCTTCCTCCAGTCCCTCCTAGGTGAGGTGGTGGGGCTGGGCGGACGGCCTCTTCCTCCGGTGGGGCAGGGTGGCAGGGAGATGATGGCGGACGCAGGGGTCATTCACAGTGTGGAAGGGGCAGGGCTGAGATCGGGAGAAACAAGCCCTTCCTTCTGGGTGTGGATGCTGGGGAAGTCCAGAAGGCAGCATTTCAGCAGAATCTTGGCACTGACGAGGAAGGAGAGGTGGGCTCAGGGGCAGCAGCGTCAGAGCCTCGAGCCTCTGGGGTGGGCGGTGGGGCGGAGGGGTGAGCTGAAACTTGGGACCACACCTGGAGAGCTGTCAGCAGCTGGGGTCCCTGCTGGTCCCTGGGCACAGCCTCCCCATCACCGTCACCTGGGACCTGCCCCACCTGCTCAGGCCCACCCAGCCTCCCCATCATCGTCACCTGGGACCTGCCCCACCTGCTCAGGCCCACCCAGCCTCCCCATCACCGTCACCTGGGACCTGCCCCACCTGCTCAGGCCCACCCAGCCTCCCCATCACCGTCACCTGGGACCTGCCCCACCTGCTCAGGCCCACCCAGCCTCCCCATCACTGTCACCTGGGACCTGCCCCACCTGCTCAGGCCCACCCAAACCTGCCGAGCTGGAGGCCGCCTGTTAACCGGACTCTCCAGTGAGCGCTGGCAGCTGAGACGCTCTGGCCAGCACCATGTTTGGTGGCTACCCCTGTATTGGGGGATGATTCCCTGGAAAGTTCCTGAAGAGTCTTCAGTCCTTTGCAGAGTAAAACAAACGGGAATGTGGTCACCAAGGGCTTACCAACTCTTCTGTTTTCCATAGAGACAAAATGGAAAATGATCTCAAACACAGAAATGGATCCATTAAAATAATTAGGACATTTCTGATGTAACAACAGAAACAGTGCCCATAGCAGGTGGGCGCTCCCACCTCTTAGACATCAATCACCGTAGCGAGCAGAGGCGCGAACCGGAGGTGCCATCTCTGATAGGGAAGAGGGTTAGTTTCCGTTTTTCCTTCACCAGCCGCTCGAAGGAGCAGGCTTGCCTGCAGTGTCTGCGCATTCGGGATGACACGCTCTACATTGTATTACCTGGGATATGGAGGTTAATACAGACGTCTTTTATGACTGTTGTCCCCCAGGGACAGTTATGGAAATAAGGTGTCTATCTCAGAGTCCTCTCAGTGAGGAAACATGTTAAATAAAGAGAAATAAATAAATAAGTCTCAAAAAGTAACTCACAAACATTTTTGCAAATATAACGTGCGTGAGCTATTGTATCCCGAGGGTATAGAATTAACTTGCACCATGATAATTTACATTTTATGCGAGTTTTATTTTTATACACCTGCTTTTCTTTGCAATTCATGAAAAAACATATTGATATCAAGGCAAATGTGCTGTCACAGAATTCATAATCGTGACTGGGAGATCTCTCATCACTGTGACATGTCTCCTTTATGCTAACTCTAGCAGTTCAGAAAAAAATACATGTTATAAACAGCTAATAAAACTTCCCCGTTTGTTAGTCAGATACATTTTCTTCCCATTCCAGAGTCAAGTGGCTCTTGGCTTTGAGGGAAGAGCAGGAGTTGAAGGAGAGGAGAGGAGGTTGTGCGTCCAACCAGAAGAGTTGCCTGGTTAATTGCGGCAGGTGTTGCTTTAGAGTTCAGTTTTGGGGGTTTCAAACTGTGGGTGTGAGAAACATCCAGGGTAGTCCATTCCAAAGTCTGAGTGTATTTGGGGTCTCAGAGTGTGGTGGGCCTGCAGAGGGTCAGCACCCTCTTTCTGTAAAGGGCTGAAGAGCTTAGATGTGGCCATGGCCGGTCCTGTGGACTCGGCTACAGCCGCTCACCTCTGCCTCAGAGCAGAGACAGGCGCCACGTGCGGTGTGGCCAACAGGAGGTCATCTGTGCAGCTGGATTCTGAACTGGTGGGATTTCCACATCGTGACATATTCTTCTTCCCTTCATATTTCCATGTGTTTAAAAACGTAAAAGTCATTCTTAGCTCATAAGCCAGTGGCAGGTGGGTTTGGCTGTGGCCATGGTGGGCGAACCCTGCTCAGAAGGCCCCGGAGCCGGGCTTGGGCTCTGATTGTGTGGAGCAACGGACACATTGTCCACCAGAGGGGAAGCTGTGCCTGCCTTGCCCTCCTGGTCTGTGACCCCGTCCATCTGATGTGGGGGCCACCTCACCATCTCTGCGAAGGCTTGTTGTGGTGGTTCGGTGCTCCTGGAGAGGGGAGCCCGGGGCAACTGCTGTCAGCAGACTGGATTGAGTGTATTCTATTCCTCACCGAGAGATGAATGAGCTTCCAAAATCTGAACAGCTTGGCGACCCATCAAGCCGCTGGACAGGGACCGAGTTTGCCAGGCAGGCAGGCCGGCTGCCCTCCCTTCTTCTTCTTCAGGGACTGTGTTCCTGGCTGGCTGGGCTGGGCGTCCAGGCCCAGCGTCCACCGAGTGCCCTGTGGTGACATGGGCCTCACTCCTGCTGCTGCCTGGCCTTTCCTCCAGGACATCTGCTCTGGCACCCATCTTTGGAAACTCATCTTCGGGAGAGGATGCAATGCCTACACCCCAGGTGAGGAGCAGCATGTGCATGCGGAGGGCAGTGTGTCCTGGGGTGGGTGCACACGCTTCATTTACGGCCATGGGAAATGGAGCAACGTGCTGGTTCCATAGGTGGGAATTAGAGGGTATTTTGTTGCTTGGATGGCTTTGCCTTCCCAAAGGTAGAAACCACTGCATTAAAAATCCTCTCTCTATCCATTTCCACCCCCTTCCGTCCCAACCCCATAACACCTCCACTGCCTCCTTCACCAGGCGGCCTGCCTTGAGGATGAGGCTCTGACAGTTTTCACTTTGCAGAAAGCAGGGTGTCAGGAAGGGACGGGAGAAGGTGCAGTGAGGCAGGAGCGTGAGCAGGGAAGGGGCTGAGGACGCCAGATGCCTGTGTCCTTGGGGTTTGCTTCCCACGTGTGGGTTCTCCGGGCAGACGGTGCTTCCTGTGTGAACGGCTCTCTGGGAATGGGCCAACCACTCCAGGGAGGTGAAACAGCCGCGTGGGGCCTGCAAGGAGTGGGCAGATGCATTCTGACCTCTACTTTAAAAAGCATGCAAGATTTCATACAGAGAAGGGGCTCCGGGAACCAGAGCCCAATGTCGCACAAGGACAGTTGGCCAGTCTCCAAATTGTATTCCTGTAAATACAAAACCGTCACTTTTTAATTTTATTTAATTAAAAAAATCATGAACCACAGCAACAGTAGTTTTAAAACGGCAGATAAAGAACAAGGGAACGGTAGGATTCCTTCTAAGCTTTGTCTTGTGTGCATATTTGTGTTTAGACACTTATCTTGTACAGTGAAATCTAGTCGAATTATCCGATGGGGTGGTTAAGAGATTCGTCAGAAATTTCTCAAAAACTAAGTGCACACTGACACACACCAAGAGGGAGAGTGGCCTCTAACCCAGTGGCCCCCAACCTTTTTGGCACCAGGGACTGGTTTTATGGAAGTCGGTTTTTCCATGGATGGGGTTGGGGGTGGTTTGAGAATGATGCAAGCTCATTACATTGATTGTGCACTTTCTTTCTGTTATTATTACACTGTAATATATAATAAAATAATTCTATGACTCATCATGATGTAGAATCAGTGGGAGTCCTGAGCTCGCTTCCCTGCCCCTGGATGGTCCCATCTGGGGGTGATGGGAGGCAGTGACAGATCATCAGGCATTAGATTCTCATGAGGAGGGTGCAGCCTGGATCCCTCCCATGTGCAGGTCACAGCAGGACTCGTGCTCCTGTTAGAATGGGATGCCGTCCCTGATCTGACAGGAGGCGGTGATGGAGGGATGGGGAGCAGCTGTAAATACAGATGAAGCTTTGCTCACTCGCCTGACCATGGCTCTCCTCCTGCTGTGTGGCCCAGCTTTGGTCCATGGTCCGGGTGCTGGGGACACCTGCTCTAACCCATGCGGGTCAGGAAGGAGACCAGGATCCTTTTGAAGTTACAAGTGGAGATTCAGGCCTGGGAGGGCGGTTTGTTTTGTTCGCTTGTAAGGAGGACATCATCAGAGCTGCCGGCCTGCCCTTGACACTTTCCTACTAAGAGCCCACCCTCTCCTGTCCCTAACGAGGAGCTGAAGCCCCTCCTGCTCACAAGCTGGCACTGGAGGCATCTCAGGTCCATCCAGGTCCCCTCTGCTTTGCACACGTTAATGATTTCATTCCCTGCTCCTGTGTTTGCTGCTGGTGACTGCATCTGAAATCGAGGCTGCTGTGCTCATGTTCCGCGTGCAAATCAGCCACATCCACAGCTCTGAGCATCCCGATGCCGACTGGGGCTCCCGATGGGAATGGAGAACAGAAAAGCTGTGCATGTCGCCCTCAGACCAAGGCCACAGCCGTGCAGACTGACGTCCACCCTCGCCTGGGGTGCTATGGATGCTTCACATGCACATCTGTTTGCTGCTTTAAAGTAACTGGCATGTTTATGACATCAGCATCTGCACTTCTCAGCCATGTCAGGTGCCCTTCTCGGTTACTCATAGGTCTCTGCAGTGAACACCTCCATTTCTGACTTTCTGTAAAACATTTCAAGATGATGTCCACTCATTTATTTATATAGTTTGCTTTCATGTGATTTCGCGGAATAGTCGTCAATATGCCATTTACTACAGCCCTGGGATTCTTTCCGGATTCTTTGATTAGATGTACATTTCCTTTACATGTTTTACACACACACACACACACACACACACACACACACACACAGAGCAGTGATCTTTAGCAGTTCCTTTCTTCCTTAGGTAGAATGGATCTAAAATTAGAACCCTCCTTGGCTGGGCACCACCTTCCACGTGTCCTGTACCTGGTCCTGTGTGTTTCTCAGGGTCCGGGGTTTAGCTGCCTCCAACCTGAGTGCAGACTGAACATGGTGCCAGGGACATGCTTTCTGAATACGGAGGCAGGAGGGGAAAAGGCAGGGAGAAGAGACGAGCAGAAAGGCAGCAAGGAGAAAAAAAGCAAAAGATGGAGAATTTGAGTAAAGAACAGAGAGGAAGGCTGGGGGCAGGCTGCCTCGCGTGACCGACAGACTCTGCCTTACGGTCTCTGCACCTGCTTCCCGGGCATTAGCATTCGTATCCGTATCGGTGAGAGTGTGGCAGGAGCTCGCACGGATCCGAGTTCCACGGCACTCGCTGGCTGAGATCCTGCCCTCACTTTGCTGACATGGCCACAGCCTGGTGGAGAAGACAGTGCAGAATTAACAATAGCAATAACAATGTCCCAAGTTAGAATTCTGGTGCAAAATGTTCACTTTTCAGGAAAAATAAAACAAAACACTCATGCCTGTAATCCCAGCACTTTGAGAGGCCGAGGCGGGTGGACCACAAGGTCAAGAGATGGAGACCATCCTGGCCAACATGGTAAAACCCCGTCTCTACTAAAAATACAAAAATTAGCCGGGCGTGGTGGCGGGCGCCTGTAGTCCCAGCTACTCGGGAGGCTGAGGCGGGAGAATCGCTTGAACCCAGGAGGCGGAGGTTGCAGTGAGCCAACATTGTGCCACTGCAGTCCAGCCTGGGTGACAGAGTGAGACTCTGTCTAAAAAAAAAAAAAAGAAAGAAAAGAAAACATGAAAAGAAAGAAAAAACCTGAAGCTCAAGTTTTTCCTTTAGAAGCCAGAAAGATGATGTGCGTGGAGGATTAAAGACGGGAATACAAGCCCAGTCGCCTCCTGGGTCCTGGAAAGACGCGAGCCCACGAGCCACCCATTGCACCCCCGAGTCCCCCAGGTCTCAGCACTGCCGAGAGCTCGTGCGTTGCTGTCCTGGGGGTGCTCAGTCGGCGGCCGTCAGAATTTGGGGGCTTTGTGGAGCCAACCTGCGGAGAGAGAAGAGCCCCAATTTCCTGTTCCTCTGCTTGCAGCGTCCGGCAAAGATGGAGGCCTGAGAGTGAATTTCTGCCAACCCGTTATCTCAGGATCACAACTTTTCCCCTTCCCAAGAAACAAGTGTTATTATTATATTTTTAATTCCCTAATGTGTGACCCGGCAGCCCGTATCATCTTACAGGGACTGAATAGGGAGGCCAGGGCAGGCTGTGTGGCCAGCGCTTTCAATATCCCCCCTGCAAGCCATTACATCACCCGGCTACTCTCTAAGAGGATTTTCAGCAGGCCTGGCTTCGTTATTAAAATAGTAATTAATTTTTTCCTCTTCACAAAACCCGGGGACCTTCAGATGGAGGCCTTGGGAGCGAGGGCAATCTCCTTTTGAAAGTGGCCTTTCTGGAAGCCGTAATCGGCTCTCCAGCCCTCCGTACACATGTTCCCCAGTAAATGTGATTAAAGAGCCACACAAAAAACCCCTTGCAGAAAATTAATTCAGTTTCCAGAATAAAAAGTTTGATAAAGTTGTGCAATGCTCCAATGACAACACATAATAGAGGGGGAAAGTTTTATCCCCTTGAAGGATAAATGAATGGCCAGAAAGGTCTGGTAGTTCCCAGAGTAAAAACATCTGCTACAGCTAATTCACTTTAGCTTTCGATTGTAAAATTCATTAGCCATATCAGGCAGCCGTCATCTCAAACACAAGGCCAGGAAGTAGTTTCACAGGCTGGGGCTCCATGGGCCCTCCTCGGCCATTGCCAGGGTCTAGCCCACTGCAGACGGGAACACATCCTCCTGGGGACCCCGAAGGCGCTGGATCTCTTGTGACTGGTGACGTCTTTTCAGCCCTTAGGTCTTCTTCACGGGGTCTCCTTCATTTCTATTCTAAGAGAGGCTGCCCGCTGCAGAAGTTAAGGCCCGGTTAAAATTCCTGTTCTGCCACTTACCCGTAACTTAACTTTTCTAAACCTCAGTTTTCTGCTCTATGAAAGGGGCAATGATGGCTCCTTTTGGGGTTATCATGAGGATTAAATGAGATGACAGACCTAACGGCTCAGCACTGTTCCTGGAAACCGGTAGATAATTACCGAGTGGTAAACGCTCTTCCTAGTTAGATGTGGGGGGAAAGAACATTAGCTCAGAGCGCAGCTCTCTGCATTCAGAACGCAGAATCTTCCGTAAGTCCTGTGACGGTTTAACAGTATCCCCTCCAAATTCAGGTCTACCTGTAACTTGAGAATATGACTTGATTAGAAAACAAGGTTTTGGGGGATTTAATGAGTTAAGAATTTCAAGACACCATCCTAGATTTAGGGTGGGTCCCGCATCTAAGGACCAGTGTTCTCATAAGAAAAGGAGAGGCCTAGACTTAGGATGGGCCCCACATCTAAGGACCAGTGTTCTCATAAGCAAAGGAGAGGCCTAGACTTAGGGTGGGTCCCACATCTAAGGACCAGTGTTCTCATAAGAAAAGAATCGGGTGCAGGCACAGGGAGGACTCTGTGCCGATGAGGACAGAGACCCAGGGACCGGGAGAGGCAGCCACAGCCAAGGAATGCCTGGGGTCAGTGGAAGATGGAGGAGGCGGGAAGGATCCTCCCCTGGAGCCCCAGAGGGAGCAGGGCCCGCGACACCTTGATACGGGGCTTGTGGGTTTCAGAACTGTGTGAGAATTTGTTTC